ATATGAAAAAACCAATCACTAATTTTATATAGAAAGGAAAGAGACCTCGGAAAAGCAAAGCACTACTGAAGAAGAAGGACAAACTAGGAGGTCTCACACTGCCAGATCTCAAAACCTACTACACAGCCACAGTAGTCAAAACAGCCTGGTATTGGTATAATGATAGACACATAGACCAGTAGAACAGAATTGAGAACTCAGAAATAGGTCCATCCACCTATGGTCAGCTGATTTTTGACAAAGGACTGAAACTCATTAAATGGAGAGATGGTCTCTTAAACACATGGTGCTGGCAAAACTGAATATCCATTTGCAGACAAATGAAACAAGATCTGTACCTCACACCATACACAAAAACTAACTCCAGATGGATCAAAGACTTAAATCTGAAACCTAAAACTATAAAGTTCCTCAAGGAAAAATTAGGGACAAATTTAGGGGCCCTAACATAGCATAAATAGACTGTCAAGTTTAACTCAAAATGCACAAGCAGCAGAAGATAAAGTAGATGAATGGGACCTTCTGAAAATTAAATTTTTATGTGCTTCAAAAAAGACTTCTCCAAAAAAGTAAAAAGAGAACCTACAGATTGGGAAAAAATATTCTGCAATGACATATCTGACAAGGTACTTATCTCTAAAACTTATAGAAAACTCCAATACCTCAACAACAAAAAGACAATCAATTAAGAAATGGGCAGAAGCACAGCCAGCCACCCAGAGGGAACGAGTAGTTGGACCTGTGGGCTTGGGACTATGGTCGCAGGGGACATCAAACTCAATTGGCATAACATACTGCACAAAAACATTGCTTCACATCCTACTTTGGTGAGTAGCAAATGGGATCTTAAAACCTTGCAAGTTGCCATCTAGATGCAACGATGGGTCTCTCCTCGTCCAGAGCAAAGAAAAATGAAGAAAACCAAAGACGCATGGAAACAATTAGTCCAAAGAACTGGTACACCATGCAATTCTCAGCCTATATGACTATGATACCAGAAGAACTAGATGGTGCCCGGCTACCACTGTCAACCACTCAGAAGGGGATCTATGTAGGAGATCCTAGACAGAATGGGAGAATGATGTGGAACAAAACTCAAAATCATAAAAAAAAATGGGGGGGGGGGACCAGGTTTGCTGGTCTGATAAAGCCTGGTGGAAACCCTGTGACTATAGCCCCTAGCTGCCCTTCAGGTCTGGAATTGAACCCACTCCTGTGGCTTCCAGCCAAACAAGACAGGCATATGAGCTGAACATTTACATTAAGTAGATATACTCCTTGGAGAGATCGGTCATGGGAGAATAGAAGGGAACAGTATGCACTGGGAAACAGCTCAAGGAGCAAGAGTGCATGAGAGGGAAGGACACAGGGAAGAGGTAACTATGGGGAGGAAGTGGGAAGAGTGCTGTTGCACTGGGGTAAACTGTAGTCAATGTCATGAGACAAAGTGTACGTGAACTGCTGGAAAATGAATTTGCTCTGTAAACTTTCACCCAAATCACAACAAAAATTTAGGGGGAAAAAAATGAGCAGAAGACATGAATAGACACTTCACCAAAGAGGATATTCAGGCAGCCAACCAACACATGAAGAAATGTTCACAATCGTTAGGCATGTGAAAGATGCAAATCAAAACAATGAGATACCATCTTGTCCCCAGCACTAATAGAAAAGTTCCACAGGACAGAAAATAACAAATGCTAGTGAGGATGGGGAAAGATTGGGACTCTTATCTGCTGGTGGGACTGTAAAATAATAGAACCACTGTGGAAAGCAGTATGGTGATTCCTTAAAAAGTTGGAATTAGAAATACCATTTGATCCAGCAATCCCATTATTACTAGGTATATATCCTAACAAAGTGAGAGAGCCAGGACAAGAACAGATATATGCACACCATGTTCATCTCAGCACTATTTATAATAGCCAAAAGGTGAAAATTTAGGTGCCCATCACAGAAGAATGGATAACCAAACTATAGTACACAACAGAATACTATGCAACAGTAAATAATAATATAGAATCTGCAAAACACTGCGCAACATGGATGAACTTGGAGGACATCATGCTGAGTGAAATAAGTCAATTTCAGAAAGACCAGTATTGTATTAGTTCATTATTGTAAAAAGTTAAGGAAAGATTTATACATGGAAGGAAACTTTCT